GCGGGGTGGGGGGTGGGGGGGGGCTTGCTGTGCCCCACCCCCCCCCACCCTGGAGGGGCGCTGGGAGCCGGCGGGGCGGGCAGGGCACGGGGTGCTGAGGAGCCCTTGGTTCTCAGGGCAAGTTACCAGCCCCCTACAGAGGAAGACGAGCTGCCAGCAAATGCTGGCTCCTCTTAACTGTTGTCAGAGCCAGAAGGGTGATGGTCTGCATCGCAGGTGATGATGTGGTTCCCCTCTCCTGTCTGGACATAGAGCAGGCCAGTGCTGGGGGAAAGAGAGTTGCTGCTGATGTGTCTTTGTTCCTTTCATGATCGATAACTGGACTCTGCTCAGGTGAAGAGGGTACGGGGCGCTGTGGGGTATCTACACGTGGGTCTGACTCTTCCTACCTTGCAGGCTGCTCATCAAGGCTTTGCATCGTGTTTCCCTGTAGAAGTAGTGATCTTTATCTTCTCCTTAAATGGTGTCATTTGGATTCAGTTGTCACCTGTGCTGGGAACTCCCATATCTATTCTCAGAAAAACCTGCCCTGACTTGTTTAGTCTCTCAAACAAGATCTTATTTTTGTGCTGCTTTTAATGTCCAGCTTGGCTACTCCAGCTAATGCGCATCAGCTTTTCTTTCCCTGAGTTTTGTCCTTCCCTGTTCTGGGAAGTTCACACCTTCTTCATTGCCTCCAGCAACCCATCAGGATTGTCTACAAACCAAACATCTTTTCTTTTGAAAGACTATCTGCTGGCACAGGACACTGACTTGCCTGATTCTCAGCTATCCTCAAGGCAGCCTGTGCCACAGCCTTTATTCAGTATAATGCCATTTATGTGATGCTGGGCATGACTATTTGACACCTATTAGTGTGTATTCTGAAGTTAAAAATGTGAGTATTCACAAATTCAGGTTTTTTGCCAGGGGCATAGCTGTTCACTTAAATGGACAAATGGAGCTATTTATGTTAGTGTTTCACTGGAATTAATTGAGAGGTTGCAGGAAGGATGCAATTCTTTACTGTATGTGCAGGAACGTCTTCACCCAGCAGCAAGTAGAAATGGTTTCTCAGATAGCTCTGGCTTCCACATAGCACTCGCTACTTCAGCGCTTAAGTGGTGTGCTTCAGAGGCATATGTGATTAAAGTGCTTTATGGTGTGAGAAAGTACATGCTCTGTATAAGATTTCTGGCAGTTCTTCTATTTATTGGTCTCTTAGTGTTCAGTGTTGATGAACTGGAATGCCTAAGAAGTGGTTGTTACAATAGATGGAGAATACACTTTTCCCCACTTAAAACGCTGCTCTATAAACTTTACAGTACAAACCCTGCTTTTCATTTTAGCTCAGAGGTTTTTTTTAAATTTAGAGACTTTATATCAAAATTAGTGTGAGAATTACCAGCATAGCAACGGTGTTGAAGTCGGTGACGGCAGTAGCAATCCTGTGCTTAGGAGGGACAGCATTTGAAAACACTTGATCTCTGAAGGGTTAGAAGAACCGTGAACTACTGACATGCAGTTGAAGTTGTCCAGATAGCTGGTAAATTATTATTAAACTCCTCATGCCACTGTTTAAGGCTCAGGCAACTTCAGTGTGTAATTTAAGTGCTATTCTCTTTACTTTTTAACATCCAAGTGATACAAAGAAGAAATTAGATTGAAAGAGACCTTGGGAAGGAATCCAGTTCTACCTCTTATTTGAAGCAGGGCTGACTTCAATTGATTTGTATTTGGTTCCTGTTAGATCTCAACATGTGCATGAGATCTTAAACACTGGATAAGGAGATTCCATGTGCTTAATTAAGCACCGCAAGAAAGTTGTCTTGTCGTGTTAGATGCTAAACTGCAAACAAAGGAAGTTTAAGCTCGCTGCTGTCCTGTCAGCAGTGAACACCAGCAACTTACTCCCCCTTCTGTAGAAGTCTGAAGAAACTAGAGTTTTCCAGCAAGGAATATCCACGTAAGCTCTGCTTTCCAGACATCCAGTCACTTTTGTTATGCTTTCTGACCCTTCAGAGGTCTAGCTCAACAGAGCCCTACACACGAATACAACCCGTATTGTAAAACACTAGCTGCAGCATGGTGTGGGATTGATTTCCTGTTCATCTGTAAACAATAGTCACTGTAATTCTTCATGGGAGACAGCCCTTCAGACCTCTGCAGAAACTTAAAGCTGTGCTTCATGATGTGCCAAAACTGTTAAACGCTTCAAATGCAGGGGCAGGCATGTTCAGCTCCTAGAACCCTTTCAAATGCCCTCACTGCTGTTTTGTCTACAACAAGGACATAGTTTTCCACCTTTTCAGTTAGATACCTTGGGACCAGCCAGCTGAGAGGCTGCCTGGACGGCTTTGGGCTTTGCAGGTCGTGTTTCTCCATGAGGAAGCTGACGGACTGATCCTGGTGCTCAGAGATGTGGCGCTTTCCAAGCTAGCCGTGGGATTCTGCAGTAGTCCCTGGATAGCTTTGGTGTGTCTTGCCATGAGCTGTGTGCTGTGATAATCTAATCTTGAGCAGGGATATCAGCGGTACGGTTCATGTATAAAAGGCCACAAGCATTGCTTTCAGTTTATAATCTGCTTCTAGTTGACTAGGTTACAGCTGTAATATGATCACACAGCAGCTGGAGATCTAAAATAACTTGGAGGGGTTATACACCCTAGGAACTAATGGAAGACGGTCATTGAAAGGAAGCAACCGACAGCTTGTCTTTGCACCAGTTCAGATTCCCTTCCAGTTAGGTGTAAGCTGAGGTGCTAAACAGCATCAGCGTGATAGGGACAAAGCTTGGCATTGACCTGCTGTACCCGGAGCTTGCTGCTCCTTGTGAGCTGACGTACATGTTGAACAGAGGTGAAGACCACTTGCAGCACTAACTGCTGCTTGGTGGGGGAAGCCACTTGGGTACAACTTTTAATCTTTTAGAACAGGACTTGTCATTGCAGTAGCCCTGTCTACAACCGTCAGCACTCCTAGTAAGTTAGTAACAATACAGCATGCTGGGGTTGAGCGGATCCACTTCTTTGCTGCCCCTTTTCTGGGGAAGCTGTGGTGCCCCCCATCCCTTATCAGCCATGTGGCAGGGCTGTCTGTGCTTCTATCTTTCCAGCTGTGCAGTGGGAATGGCAGCTGGCCTGCACATGACCCGCAGACTGTGACATGGCAGGTGCTCGTGAAAGGACTGTTAAGGATGTAATTTGTAAAGGTACTGCAGGAATTGTGGCATGTCCTGGCAGAGAGGTTGAGTACTTCTGTGGTAACCTGTTAGAAGCAATTGATGCAACTCCAATACACAATTCTTCGGTTGTCAGAAAGCATACATCAAACCAGTATGTGCTGGTGCTTATCTGAACTGGCAAAGCCTCACGAAGACAGAAGACAACTATAGACTAGTAAACTTGATGAGCTGCTGTAACTTGTGGCCAAAATTTAAAGCTTTCATATGTCCATGTCTGACGTAACTATGCTACCTATTTTCCTGCACTAACAATCCAGTAAGTCTGAGTCTGACCTCTTCCTCTTTAATGACTCAAATTAATTTATGCTTCTACCTGGTAGCTGCCACACAGTCAACTGCAGCTTTTTTTCCCCACTCGAACATGTACCATCACTGGTTAGTACCTGCTCAAGCATTCCGGTAGCTGGGACTCGGTAAAGCCTCAGTAGGCACTGAGGTTTTGGACTTATCACTAAAAGCTTGCTTTGTGGTTGCTGGATATTAATCATAAAACCAGTGGTACGGAGTAGAGAGAGGATTTTAATAGGAAGCTCTTGTCATTGAGAAAACTTCACCTCCATCTGTACAATAAATACATGAAACGAAAGGTGTCACTTTGAGCTCCAAAGCCTTCTAAGATTTCTTCCCCTGCTGCTCCAGGGGCCTCTGCTGTGGCCTGTTGCAGTGGCAGCTGTCTTGGGCTGAATGCCTCCATAGGACAGGGGCTGGGGAGGGAAGGGGAATGTGGCAGTATAGCACCGTGGGGAAGCCCTCGGTTCTGGAGTAGGATTCTTCACTCCATCTGGTCTACGGTCTTTACCTTCACAGCTTGATGTAAACAAAACTGTTTATACAGGCTGCTGAAAAAGTTGGCGTTTGAGGGAACAGATGTGTGTGATAAGGAGATTCAGGGTTCTAGAGGTAACCTTTTTTTTTGTTACTTTCGGCAAGTATTGCAAGAGTACTTTTTAACTGCGTAAATCTGAACTTGCACAATGCTGCTATGGTAATGCTGGACTAATAGTAATCTTTCTAATGCTAAAGTGCGATCCTTTGGTACTGAAGACCGGCCCACAGACAGACCTGCTCCTCCGAGAGAAGAAATCTATGAATACATTATTTTTCGGGGAAGTGACATCAAAGACATCACTGTCTGTGAACCTCCAAAAGCTCAACATACTCTGCCACAAGATCCTGCCATTGTTCAAGTAAGTTAGCCTGAAGCATTGATAGAAAGCTGTGATAAAACTTTGATGATGAAAGACTTGATTTTGGTATAAACTTATAAAAATGAAGGCCAGTAAGTGTCTCCAGGAATCTTCAGATTGAAGCATCCTGAATTTTGTTGTAATGTTTAAAATAGCAGCAGCATTAAAGACATCAGTCAACAAAAGCCAGAGCTAGTTTACCTAGCTGAGAATGCAAGAAAGTCATAAAGAGGTAAACTAACCCTTCTCAGTATTTACTTAAAGCTTTAGTAATGCTGTATGTGAAGTAGAGAATCGCTGCCAAAGCAAGTTGACTTCTGGACACTGTAAATGGAAATGTACTTTGTCTTGTTACAGTCTTCACTGGGCTCTGCCTCTACATCATCCTTTCAGCCACATGTGCCTTACAGCCCGTTTAGAGGTATGCCACCTTACAGCCAGCTTGCTGCCAGCTCTTTACTTAGCCAGCAGTATGCAGCTTCGTTAGGTTTAGGTAAGTAAAAACTTCACTTGCTGGAATAAAGGTACAGTCCTTGTATGCAGCTACTGTGAAACCAAATAACAGTAACTAATACCAAATTCCTTGCCAAGTGTCAGGCTGCAACAAGCAGTGAATAAGTAGTTAACAACTTTGTGCAATGATCTTACTGCTAGGAGGCCTGTGTTCCACTTGCGCACACACACACAGATGCACACAAAAGAGGCAAACTAAATAGCTGAAGTTTCTTTCAGAAAGAAATGTAAATACCTGAACAGTTGAGGCCAGTTAATTTCTAACCTAACATACCTTACATACACATCACATGTAAAAAGAACTTTTGTTGCCAGAGAGGACTGTAAATAAGCTGCTCTAATGCTGTTCTAGAGATTCTTGTATCTCTTAAGTCCTTCAGGTGTTTCACTACCTTGTATCTTATCCATATATCTTTGCTTTCTCTTCTTCCCTCTATATCTTTAGAGAAATTGGTAAGCCCTCCAGCATCAGCAGCTGCTTCCAGCCCTAGTTCTTCTCCGTCTCCACAACCTGTTTCAGAGCCTGACATGTCTTCAGAGCCCCATCAGCTCTCTTCCAAGGGTAACAGCAGTTTGAGGACTCCAAATATTTGGAAGAACTGCATGGCACTTGCAAACACTCTGTTCTTGTTAACCCCTCCTAGAATGATAGTACTTATGTGGGTGATGCTAGTAGAACTAGTTTGTTCTCAGCTATTTTTGCCTTTCATTACATGATGTATTCCTCCTGTCCTCGAAGTATCAATTAGAGAGACAGGAGAAAGAAAAAGTACAGGACAGCAGATCCTCTTGTGTAAGTATCAGGAGAGGGCTGAGGTGTAGGGATGTGGATGTGCTGCATCCTATCCAGGAACATGTGTCGCCTTAGAGACTGGGCGAGGAATTAATTGGTCTTTCCTGGAAAGACAAGCACACTGCTGAAATTGTGGGTGGCCTTGCTGTTAGAGACATAGGTTAATAGAAGCTTCAGGAGTATTGCTGTAATTGAGGAAATATCAGGATAGATTTCATGCATGATGGGGCATAGTACCTTGTCAAGACTCCCAGTTAGTAAAGCATGACTAACAGTAAGCAATTTCTGAGTTGTGGTAAGCTGAGATAACACAGTTCTGGGTGCTTGCTGCTTTGTGTAAAAACTTTTAAAGGAGGTTGAGTAGAGATGCTAGACTGACCATCCTCAGAGCAGAGACCAGGTGCAGCCTGCATTTAAACATGGTAATTAGTTTCATCTGTTTTTAACTTTAGCATGTATGCTTGTGTTGGCATGAAACTGTTTTTACTTACTCTCTGGTTTTGGCCACCTATCTGTACATACTTTCTCAATATTCTGGCTAAGCTTTGAAACTTTCTCATGTTAAACTTGCATAGCAGCTTTGTCCTACTGAGTAATCCTTAGGCTATGTCTGTCTTCCTTGCAAGTTTTCCAGGTGTACATTAACTGGGAACCTGCATGATGTTACCTACTGGGTATATCTCATGTGGACTTGGGTGACCCAGAAGTGTCAGTGGCTTGGTTTGTGTGTACTCTTCAGCTTTTCACTTTTCTTGCTCTTAAAGTATATTCAGTTAAAGTTCGCTTCCAAGCAGTTCTTACGCATAACTACATAAACCTGTAGTACTCCAAACCTTCTAATTAAACCTAGAATGCAGTGTTTCTTCTGAGTACTGAAGACTGTCACTTTTTAATATAATTGGTGTAAGGTATACCAAACCATGAAAAGTATTTACATGTTTTGTAGTGTGAATAAATAAGCCTGGATGGAAGAGCAACAGAAGTCTTGGTAACACTTTGGCCTTGACCAAGAAGGAATTTAAAAGGGTAACTTTGAGATCCTGGTCTGGTTTCAGGTTTTCTTTGTCTGAAAGCTAACAATAAGCAATGAAGTTGAAGGACTTCTAAAAGCGGCTTACAAAATGGGATATAGTTGAGCTGGTTAAGCTTTTGCTGTGAAATTTTTTTGACAAAGTGGGGAAGCTTTCTTGAGCAGTTTCAGAATGGTGGATTTTTGCTTCAGATTTGAAGTATCGCGTAAAGTAAAATCCTGCATAACCAAGAATATGCCTAGAAATTAGATTTTGGTATAAACCGCCTAAGAGACTGACCTGGCTAGCTTATCTAATGCGTGTCTAACTTGGTTTAAGAAATAATGGGTAGATTTCCTGATTTTAAGGCTCTGGATTTGAGATCCATGACTTGTGTGGCAGTAGTGCCTTACCTAGTGTATATGCCACTTAAATATAGCATGTAATGATAAACACTCAAGGCTTTGAGTAATTCTTGACAAAACGGATTCTCCATAGAAGTGGGTAGGGTTTGAATAGCGTTGGCACGTTTTCTGGGAGGCACTTAGTCATTGGGATTTTTTCCAGGTGCTGGCTTCCCTTCTGTTCACCCAGTCCGCAAAAGCCCCATGGTCGAGCAGGCTGTTCAGACTGGTCCAGTTGACAACATGAATTCACAAAAGCCGCCCCCGGTGAAAGTAACTCCAGGGGTTCCGCGCAGTGGACGGCAGGTTCCACCGGGCAACAGTAAGACAAGTGGTACGTACACATCACTCCCTCTTTAAAGTGCTGGTTTGAAGCATCCTTCAGAATTGCATGGCAAGACTGAACTGTTTCAGTTTTGTTCTTGTGCTCCTTGTTAAGTTTATCTTCTTGTTCAGTAGATACAGTTCAGGCAGCACCTGTGCAAACCCAAGGACAGGTGAACGATGAAAACAGAAGACCTCAAAGGAGAAGATCGGGTAGGTTAACCTGACGCTAAACAGTCGCATTAGCCTATAAAGCTAAATATTGTTAACTTCAGTGAAGGATTGTCAGACAGAAGATTGAGAGCAAAATAAAGCTTGATAAGGTGTTGGGCATCCAGGATGCTTCCCTGAAAAAACAGGTTCTGGAGTCACAGAACGTTCCAGGGACAGAATTCTAGTGTCTTTGCTAGAAACTTGAAGGTATGTTATGAAACTTGATGCTGTGAGTTGGCAGCAGTGACTAGATTTCTCTGAAACCTGAAGTATTTTTACTGGGAAGAGCAGCCTGTTTAAGAATTTCTAGAGCTCTTGTAACTGAGGGAAACTATGGAGCTCTTGCGTCTGTAGAGCCAGAGGTCTTATCTCAAGACTGCAGCTTAAGCACAGGTCGAAAGAAAGTGACAGCGAATTCAAACAGATATTTCTGCCCAAGCAAAATGAGAAAAGGCAGGAAACAAAACTTTGGACTCTCAGGTCTTCAAATTAATTTACCTGAGGGCAGCACTGTAGAATGGGTTATAGCTTTTCCAAAGAGGAGGTGATAGGCTCTCAGTTGGAAACCAGAAGCTATACAAAGTACAAGCTCCTTCTGTGGGTAGAGGAGTCTTGGGGTAGATTTTCTGAAACCAGTGACCTGTTCCTCTTTGCCATGGTGACAGGTTTGTAGACTGTTTGTACAGTGCTTGCAGATGAATAGCAGCTCCTTTCCTCGGCTTTTCTTGGTGTCGTACTTGTTCTGACTTCCTCTCCTCACACTGGATGGGAAGTGTCTTAGCGGTAAGACCGACATCCAGGAACGCTTCGCAGAAAGCTCAAGTATTGCTGTAATGTCTCTTCTACAGCCGAGTTCAGAAATTGCTTTCAAAGAGGTATGGCCTAACCACAGGACTGGAGGCCAGGAACTCCTCAGTTGTAGCCCTGGCTTCCCCTGGTCTTGAGCAAGTCCTTTAACTTCCCCGTGCATTACCAAGTGTTTAAACTCTCCTGCTTTCAGGAAACAGGAGAACCAGAAACCGTTCTAGAGGACAAAACAGACCAACTACTGTGAAGGAAAATACAATAAAGTTTGAAGGTGACTTCGACTTTGAAAGTGCAAATGCACAATTCAACAGAGAGGAACTTGATAAAGAGTTCAAGAAGAAACTAAACTTTAAAGGTTTGTGATTTCATTAAATATGAATTGCTGAGGTAGCAGTAAACACTGCATAGACAAACTCATTCTGAGAAACTGCATGATTATATGTGGCAGCATCTCAAATCTTGTTTGAGGGAGCGGGAGAACAGATGGCTCTTCAGTATGCATCAAGGAAGTGTAATACGTTTTATTATCTTCAGATGACAAAGCGGAGACGGGGGAAGAAAAAGGGGACCCTGGAGTGGCAACTCAAAACAATGACGGTAATGCAGAGGAGGACCTTCTGGGGCCCAACTGCTATTATGATAAATCCAAGTCTTTCTTTGACAACATTTCTTCAGAACTGAAGTCTAGGTGAGTATTTTCCAAAAGCTTGCTTTTTTTTTTTAATGCAGTTTTAGGCATAGAATTCTAGATGTAATCGATGTCACATGGTTTAATTTTTTAAAAATCTTAGAATGCAAGGAAGTCAGCAAAAGAGTCTTTGGAAGGGAGCATTGCCATATGTTCGATGGCTCACGAGTGATGTTAACCAAGCTTCATGCACTGGGATCAAACACAAAGCAAGGATTTTGGCTGACATGGACACACTGGTCTAAACTGTGATACAGGAATTTCCAGTTCTGTTTCCCAGCACTGACTTTGAAGCCATTGATTTTAAACAAATTTCTTATCTCATTTGTGGGAGGAGGCATCAGGGTCATGCTGCGCTGAAGTAGGTGCAACTTGCAGACAGGAGCAAGCTAAGCCTGGAGTTTGGGCAGAGAGGAGGTCAGGTCTGTCTGTGGAAATGCATTAAATGAAATGTTGGGGAGATTAAAGGAAAGCTTCGTCTTTGGCTGCTGACACTGATGTTGCCAACCGCCTGGTGAAGTCAGACATTGCTTTAGGGTCAGGATGCGAAACTCCCTGGGTGATGTTTCTGCTTCCCTCTCACAAAGCTTTCTTCCGAGCGCTCTCCGTACGGTGTTCAGGGCCTGGCGGGCTCTGCTCTGGTGCTGTGGGGCTGCCTCAGCAGCAGCCTGCTGAGCCTCGGCTGTGGCGGGGCTTCCGGGCTGCTGGAGAGGTTTCCATGCAGGCAAGAGTTTGTATTTTTGAAAAAACAAGATGGTTTGAAATGCTCGTGAGACCATGTTCAGCCCTTTTCTAGGCCCCATCTTTAGTTTCCCAGTATGAAAGTAGCTGAGAGGCCAACAGCAGTCACTGCCAAAGCCACGCTCAGCAGAGGAATCGAGTTAGGGAGCGTGTGTATGCGGCAGCTTCTTGTTGCAGTTCAGTTTGACAAAACAGGGTGCTTGAAGCTTCCTGCCTAAATGAGCTGGTGGTCATTTAAGGTTAAATCTGAACGCAGTCTCATCAGTTCTAGGCGTACCACGTGGGCCGAAGAAAGGAAGCTCAATACAGAGACATTCGGAGTGTCTGGACGGTTCCTTCGTGGCCGCAGCTTTCGTGGTGGATTTCGAGGTGGAAGGGGCAGCGGAGCAGCAAGGCGAAACCAAACCACTCACAGAGCTGGTACTGGCAGAGTGTAACTTCAGAGGCAAGTCTTCCAGCAAAAATAGGTACTTGTCCCTGAGCCAGGCTTGTCTCTTAGTCCTTGCCTGAGCTGTCTGTGCCACCGGTCCCATGGACGTATCAAGAATTGTTCCTTACTGTATCTGAGCCATCCTCTGAAGTGGTAGAAGCAAATAGGAGCGGTTTCAATGTGTTGATTGTTCTGCTGATGTCTTGGGCTGGCTGTCTGTCCGAGCAAGCAAGAGCCGCGTGTCTGAGCCGAGGCTCTAGCTAAGCACTTCGGTCGATACAGGAGTGCGAACTTTGCTGCTGTTCTTCTTGGGAGAAGATCCCCACGATGCCAAATCTAATTCTACCTTTTTTTTTTCCTGAATAGGTTCTAACATCTCTCCTGAGAGGAGGAAACTGTATATAGAAAGAAAACAACCAACTGCTGCACTAACGTGGGAAAATGGTTCATATTGTTCACTGTCTCAGCTCAAGCGACAGAACTTCATGTACTACTGCTTATATTCTGGACTTATTTTGGACCAGCAGCTGTCAGCTGGAATATTCTTTGGAAGAGGGAATGTGTTCAGGGGTACCTTCTTCAGGGTGTCTTTTTTTTGTTTGTTTGTTTTGTTTATTTTTTTTTAAGTGCAGACTAACGTACATTGTTCTTCTTTCTGGGTCTCTCAAAGGCTGCTATAGTCTAAGCTTAAAGTCAGACTCCTTTTCTGAACCCTGAAGAAGATAAATCATGCTATTTTTTAACATGGAACCAAAGCTCACTTGAAATAAACCAGCTAGAATTTGTTTGTTCTGAGTAACCAAATGGATTCTTTGGTGCTGCTGGTCTCACTGTTCTCGGCAGCGGGTGTGAAGCAGCACTTGGTATCCGGGAGGACGGATTCCTGGTGCCGAGGAGTTATGTATATTGTCACTTGGGAATACTGGATTGTTGATCATGTAGTAGTGTCAATGACTGTGCAACTGTTTGTCGGCCGGTACTAACGTGGAGGTGCTGCAGGCTTACAGGCAACCGTGGCTCTCCCTTGAGCTGAAGGGTGCTGGGCGCTCCTCCTCCACGGCTTGGAGCCCCTTGCTGGGCCAGGGCGGCGCGGGGGGGACCGCGTGCTCTGCCCTCGGTGGGATGGGAGCGGTGAGCAGCACCGCCCTGCCCTCGGAGTAGAGCTTTTGGGCAGTGGCTGACTGTCTGGGAAGGAGATCCGAAGCTCCGAGTTCTTGCCTCAGTTCGTACCTGGCTCCTGGGCAGTACCAAGCGCAAACAGTTCTCTGTACGCTAGTAGACTGTGGTGGAACACTATGGAATGTTTTCATTAAACTAGGGATGGGAGTCCATATAATGAAGCTTAACAGATGGGCATGTTTAATTTGTGTCCTCTATACCCCCCAGACTGTAAATAGTTTAGTTGTTTTTCTTTTGTTTTTAAAAATCTGTATGTGGGGAGAGGGGCTGGGGGGGGGTTACATTTGTTTGCATGAATAAGTGGGTTAAATTGCTATAGGCATGTGTCCCTTTTTTGGTTGGTAGGGAATTTCGTTGAAAAAGCACCTTGATGACTGAACCCCTTACATAGCTAGAATTTTTTTAGTTATGCATTGACCTAGGTTACTGTAAAAGCTTGGATTTATTTTTGTAGGACTTTATTGCTAAGAATTAGAACATAGCAGTGGGGCTGCTCTTTGGAGTAATGTAAATTGTAATTATAATAAACATGTAAATGTTTAATGTTTCCCTCCTGCTTTGTTCTGTACCTCAGTCCGTACAACCTGTGGGCGCTTGTCCTAGCGGGGCTCAAATCTAAGTTGGAGAAAACTCTGCCTCAGAGTTGGGGCAGGCCGGGGCACTACGGCAGGGGATTAAATAGGCTTAAAAACCCTGATCTGGGCACTGCCCCCCCCGTTGCCATTGCCCTCTGTTCTGGTGTCCTCACTGAGGAACCACCCTGAGCCTGTACCGAGCCCAAGCCCCTGGGCCAGTGGGGCTTAACTAGAGCTTGCTTGGGGCACAGCGCTGCTGGTTCAGTAGCCACAACTGCCCTGGGTGTCTGGGCTCACGGCAAGGAAAGGGGGCAGGTGCTGAAACTGCTTCCTCAGAAGCTGCTGCAAGCCTCTGGGTTTCTCCACTGGCCCAACAGCCAGCAGGGTGCTGAGCGTGGGGCTGGGACTGCGCTGCTGGAGGGGCCGGGCTTGTCAGGGGGGGCTGTGGCAAAGGGAGAAAGGGCCGCTTTCTGGGTACTAATGCCTCTGGTTCTAAGGAGCAGGGCCCTGTGTTTCTGCAGCAAAGCCTCGGCTCTGATACCTGAGAGGTGGCCCTGGTCATGGCACTGCTGAAGTTGCTGTACTGGGGCTGTCTCCCAGCTCTCCCACTGTACTGGGCTCACTGGGAGCAGTAGGAGGGGGCCGGTGGCTGGGCCCTGGGCTTGCTGACTGCCAGCCCCTCTCCGGCAGGAGCTGTGTTCCCCTTGGCTCTGCTGCAGCCCTCTTGGCTGCCAGGCAGAAGATTCCCAACATGAGGGAAGGACGGTGGCGACTTGTGCAGGGAACCAAACAGGGCTTTTCCAACTTCAGCATTCCATCCAAGGACTGATAAATGAAACTGCACTATTCCAGCAACTCCCTTTCTCCAGCTGCTGTGGCCCAACGCTTCCCTGAGCAGCGGCACGGCCGCTTTCCTGTCCTTGATTCCAGGGCCCTACGCTCTGCCCACGCTTTGCTTTGCAGCCTTTGGCGGTAAACAGCCCGGCAGCCTGTGGGAGTTGCTGCAGGCTGGCACCCGCTGCCTGGAGCAGCCCCCGGGGGGGGGCAGGGGCGCCCGCAGCCCTGGCTGAGCCACTGCAGCTTGTGTTACACCTGTAAAACCCTGCCTCGCTTGGCAACCGCAGCCCCAGAGCTGCTTTCTAGGGCTGTTCCAGTTCCACCCCCTTGGTGGATAAAAATAGGGGAATTCTGTAATCGAGTGGCACCCGTTACTGTTGCAGGCAGGTGCTGAGGCTCATGGGTAAGAGAAGCCCAAGGCTTCTCCAAAACGGGAAAAGGCAACGCTGCACTATGGCACAAGCAAAGTGACCACCCTTCCCCAAAAGCTGGGAGCAGAGATGCCCTTAGCGATACGGACAGGATGGACAAAGCCTTTTGTTGTGCTTAAAGGTTGTACTGAAAGAGAAAAAAGGCCCCAGGAAGAAGCAGGGGGAAAAATAAAAATTAACAGGGAGGGAGGGAGGGGCTGGTGTTATTTCTGTTCAGCCCTGTACCCCCTGGTTTGGGGGCATCACAGCCCTGTGCCCCCCTGCTGCTGTCACTGGCAAACCGTCCCCACCCCCCTTGCAGGGCAGGGATCAGCTGGAACAGAACTTTCTGTTGGCCAGAAGCAGAGCATGGAGCTGCCGCGCTGCAACTACCACTCTGAAATCAAATTCCCCAGTTCCAGCCCCTCTAGGTGAGTTTCGTACCATCTGAGTGAACAGTTGTCACCCGCTGCCTTCACCCTGACGCATTTCTAAGTTTATAACATTATAGGCGTTGATAGCTGCAGCACGTGGCTGGCTCTGCCTCCCGCAGAGCACCCGAGCACTCTCCTGCTGCTGAAGGGGCGAGTGCTGGGGACAGGGAAGGGACGGGCTGGGCCAGAAGCAGAGCTAAACCCAGCTCCCGCAGGCGAGACGCACAGAGGAAGCGGCACGAGGGTAAATACAAAAGGAGAAACTGGACCAGAGCATTGTGGCTTAACTGTGGCGAACACAACAGCCCGTGCAGCTATTTTTAGCACTGGGAAGCGACTGGTCTGTAAATCCCCTAGTGGGCAATCACAACAGCAACACTTTATTCTGAACCAGCTGAATCATGCACGGTCCATATAAGCACCGCGTCACACACCAAGCAAGCACCACATCACGCACCTCTGCTGCGATGACGTGCCTGCAGCAGTCGGGGCTGGCCTCCCAAAACACGACCCCCCAACGCCTCAGTACCTCATGCACAGGCTGCCGCAAGGCTTACGTCCAGACCCCCACCGGGTGATGTTGAAGATGTTAGGGAAGAAAAAGCGTAATTCGGTATTAGTTATGTTCTCTGGAGGTCGTAACACAACACTAGAGAGAGTTATTAAAAAAAAAAAAAAAAAAAAAAAAAAAAAAAAGGAGAAGCAAAGAGAATCATTAAACCATCTGAAATGTCCAGGGCAAAAAAATACAAAGTCTTTGTCCTTTAATGGGTCACTACTGCTGTTTTGTAGCCAACCCAATAGTCCTAGGTAAATAAAATCCAAGGAAGAAACAGATATTTTAAAATAACAGGTTAAAAAAAAAAATCAGTAGGTTTATTGTAGGTCTGCAGAGGGGCACAGTATGAGTAAGTGGAATGCCTACGCATCGTCTATACAGGATAACCCACCACTTGAATTAAAAAGCAGCAGCTAAGCGGTTGAATTTCATTCATCATGATGTTTTCTTCTGTTTTTTCTTTTCATTTTCTTCCTTTTCTTTTTCAATTTCCGCAACATACTTCTCAATTTCTTCAGGGTTTAGGATCTAAAACAGAAACACGGGTGACCCTGAAGCTCGGAGGCTTTCGTTGAAGCAGATCTAGTTCTGAGGTGGGAAGTTCACTGGTAATCGCCCAGGTACCTTGTGCAGACACAACAACGTTCCCTGGCCGCTAACAATAAACACGAGCGCTTGGCAGGGCCCAGCGCGAGATGAAGGGCTGGAGGTTAATGCGGATCAACAGGGACGGTATCGGACAAACCGGCTACAGGGGGGGAAAAGCAAAACAGAGACCTCACCTTCAGCGGCTGCTCTCGCCTCATAACCGCCAGCTCGATGTTCTTCCCACCAGACTGCACAACCTTAACGAGAGTTAGAGGTAGGTATTAGGAGCCCGTCCATTCATTAGCGCCAACAACCCCTCTCAGGTTCTCTTTGAAGGAGAAGAGATGCGGAGGGGGAATATGTCACTCGTTAGCTCTAAGCTGTTGACTCCCCTAGCAGCGTAACTCTCAAAAAAATACAAGGTCTTCCTTCTGGCATTGGTGCACTCAGTGGCTGGTGAAGAACGCCTCATTTCCACCATCTGACTTTTGATAATTTTCCGTATCTTAAACTTCAGTAAAAAACCCCTAAACATTCTGCATATGGCTTAGCCCACCTTTGGGGCATTTGTTTTAACGCCCAGAACTGAGGTCCGTTTTCCTCCCCAGAGACCTGCTAACAAGTTCTTCCGTGTAAGCTACAGAAACCATTTCCTGAAATACTCCGAATCTTGCATTTAATCCCACACGTCCAGCCTGCAACCAACAGTTCTCACAGATCCTTTTACAGAAAATCCTCACGCGTGTCACAGGAAAGTGCACGTACTCAGGTTTAAGAAGTTAACCCAGACGTACAGTGAAAAGTCACGAGGGCTTCTGAATGGACTCACCTCAAGAAGAGCCTTGATGACAAGTTTAATAGTTAGATCATCTGTTTCAATGGCTTCATCAGTATAGTTTTTCTCCAGAAATTCACGCACAGATTTGGCTCCTCTGCCAATGGCATTAGCCTGGAAACATTGGGGGGGGGGGGGGGGGGGGGGGGGGGGGGGAATG